TAAAGGAATGGATTATGTACCAGTGTAAAGAGTAACGAAAATTACTAAAAAAGGTTTTATATAAAATTGAGAGGCAAAAATTATTTACCTGTAATAATTTATATATCCATATCACTAACATTTTTTGTTAAAAACACTCGTTTTTTTCGAGAATATTTGTAAATGTTTTTGACTTCACAAGACTTTGTAACATTACTGTCTCATTACTGTGTGTTACAAAGTCTTGTGAAGTCAAAAACATTTACAAATATTCTCGGAAAAAACGAGTGTTTTTAACAAAAAATATTAGTAATATGGATATATAAATTATTACAGGTAAATAATTTTTGCTTCTCAATTTTATATAAAACCTTTTTTAGTTAATTTTCGTTACTCTTTACACTGGTACATAATCAATTCCTTTATAATTTTTATAAAATAATCTGTAATGGCCATCATTAATTAATGTTAGTCAATAGTTTTTAAAAAAACATTGTCTTTGACAGAATAAACCTGATCATGGAACGTATCTAGTTCCGAAACGTCGTTATTTAACATCTTCAAAAAACAAATTGTTTTTTATTATTGGATTTACTGTTGAGAAAAAAAACAATCAATATATTGAAAAAATTCAGGACTTATCTATTGAATATATAAACTACAAATATATAACATTAAATAAAAACTAATAAAATTAAACATTTGATAAACTATAAATCACTACTTAAGACAGTTTTTAAAGGATAATTTTTCTGGCTTGATTTTTTATATTTGTCACCGAAGATATCAATCTCAGAAGCAAGTTCATTTATTATTTTTGATATTCTGAACATGGGTGCGCGTTAGGGTTTATACAAACAGACATTTCAGAAAACCGGTTTTCGAATTCGAAATTTCCCAGAAAACCGGTTTTAACCGGTTTTCGAATTTTATATAAAAAATCCATTTTTGCTCGAATATTCTGAAATAATAAAAAAAAATTAGTGGCATATTTAGTGTGATTTAAAGCAGTTTTGGACTGAATTTATTTTATGTTCAATTTTATGAATAGTATTTCATGCATTTTTACATATGAGAATATACATATTTTTATGATAGTGAAAGAAAATAGTTGGAACAAATAAAAATGTTACATTTAAAAAAAAAACCTTTACCTTCTAATTAAATAAAAAAAAATAGGTACATATTGATGCATACTTGTTAATGTCTATTTTAGTTCTAAAAACGTGTTCATTCTATTCCGAACAATTTTAATTAATTAATTTCAAATTTTGTTTTTTTGGTTTGAGTCTTCTAAGGCTAAAAACTCTTTTTAAAGTTTGAGTAGAACAATTCACTTCAACAAGAAGTCACATTGATTTAAATTAATATATACATTTGATAAAAAAATCTAAATTAATATATACATTAGACAAAAAATAACACAGAACTTTCTGGGAACTATAACAGACTGATATGATTCCAAATTTTATCGAACCGATATGATTCGAAGTATGAAAACCCTTGCTTCCATCTTGTATATTTGTCATTTTTCATTTAAACAGTAAAAACCGATTTTTTCCGCCGAAAAACCGGTTTTCGAATTTCATAATTTTCGTCAAAAAAACCGGTTTTTGAAAACCGACAAACCCTAATGCGCGTGAACCAAATTTGGTTTTAACTGTTGGTATTTCTAAAGTTCTATTGTAACGTAACCTAACGTTAGGTATGACAAATTTGAAGCATTCAAGAAGTTTAGGCACATCTAAATCACTTTTCACAATATTTACTCCATAGCAGAAAGTGAGGTATTTTCTTCTAGCATCAAATGGCGTAATGTAAAGTTGGCTGTACATTTCGGACCGAAGTAGTTAGTTTAAGTTGATTTTTTTTTTACCAGGTCTCAGACTCAAGTTTTATTACTACAAATTTGCTTAGAGGGGTTGATTTTTCGTCTTTCGCTAAATACGGGCTATCATTTACCATATATTTTGTTTCTATATCAGATATCAGACAGAATTTTATGTAAATTTATAGTTTCTTTGGCATTTACTGGCTAAATATGCTTCTGGCCTTTGTTGGAAAATGTTATTCAACCAAAGTGATATGAGCTCTCGCTTTGAAGCAATTTTGCTATTTTCTATAATTTGTTCCAAACCAGGCTTTTTTCTATAAATTTGGCCTAAATGTGTCTGAAAGCTCTTTGAACTTCTAATCTACCTGCAAAACCTATTTCACTTTACTACAACTCTTGTCCAAATAGTTTCGTCCAAAACCAATTTTAGTTTTCTGATTTGGTGTATTACTTCCAAATTCGTCTTCAGAATTGGAAGAAAGTGGCTCGCATCGTCTCATACGTTTGTTTGTGATATCTATCCATTTACTAACGTACTTGATCCATCTGTATTGTCTTTATCACAAAATTTTCCATCTTACAGTCGATAATACTGCCTTGTTTTTTATCTAAAAATTCACCGTCACTATCATATATTTCAAATCCTAGGTCCAAACATTTCAGAGATCCGCTGATTGTATTTTCCAAATAAGCTAAAAAACATTGTTTCCATTCTCTTTTCGAAGACTGACAGTTGCTATAAAAATAAGTCGAAACCACGGCAGTTTTTTCGTTTATAGTTTTTTTTTTACTCAAGAATATATTTTTGAAAATTTCTGTGTCTACGCGAATGTTACTTGTATCAGTGTACAAAAAGAATAAATAATTATACTAGAAAATCACTTTGATTTAAAATTTTATTTGGTGTGTTGAACGAAGCTTGAAACAATTGTTTTGTTGGTAAAAATCTAGTGATAGTTCAGCCATCTGCATTTTTTACAATGTAAAAAATAATATATATCGTCGTCGATAAGAGAGTAGGCGATAAACGCATACGATCTATGGCTATTGTTATTTCGGTTCTTTTATCAAACATTTTAAGAAACTTGCACCAGTCATTTTGGTGGTGGTACAAGTAGTAGTAACACAATTTATTTTTGTTAACTTAACTTTGAATGCACAAAATGATTTCTATACGTATAACTTAAAAAGTCATAACTTCATTTCACAAAACAAATTTTGCATATACAGTAGAATCCGATTAGTATGACGCCGGATATATTGACAACCGCTTATTATGACGTAATTTTAAAGGCAGTTTGGTTTCCATATAAAATTTCTCAAAAAAACAGCTGTTTAGTCGGATATGTTGACCTCGCTTACATTGACATTTCGCTTATAATGACCCATTTTTGAAAAAAAATTTGGTCCAAGTATAATGACCGACATGATTTTACACCTCCGATAACATAGAGTTCATGTTTTTCATTGCACATTGTTATGGTATGGCACCACTGTGAACTACCCTTGTGTGTCAGGTCGCTACATACCTTCAGGTCTCTATGTTGCACGAGATTCGCGCTATGGAAACTTTGGCAACTTCCGGCATGGACGACCTCGTGCAAAAAATAAGTAGGCTCATTCTTGGTGTTCGAAATTTGGAAGCGATAACATCTGCTATAATTTACTGAATTAGTAAAGTTCTATATTTTTTACTATTTTTACCCAGTAATTAAAATTCAAACGAAAATTACAGATTTCTTACATTAAAAAATGCATTGTTATGTCATATTTTAATTAAATTTGTCAATTTGTTTATATGTGTCATTTTTTACCTTAATTTTTGTATTAAATTACCGAAATTAATAACATATTCGCCAAAAATTGTTTTTTTTTTTCAGTACGCTTAGTATGACGACCGCTTAGTATGACCATTTTTCGCCGTCCCTTGAATGTCATACTAAGCGGATTCTACTGTATAGTGCAGTAAACGGAGAGGAAAAAAGGGTGTAACCTCTGAATTTTTTTACTGTGCTCCGAATTGAATGAAATTTTGGAATTAGGTTCATCTTACCCTCAAGTTTAAAAGTGAAAACAATTCGGGTTGCGCCATCACCCCCCGGGGGAATGACCCCCCTTCTCAATTGTGTAATTACATTTTTTTACAATAATGTCGGAAATCGATAGAAGAACCAATTATAAGAAAAAAATGTCTTTTATAGTTTTTTAAAAAAACCAAAACTTTTCAAGTTACTGGTCACTAAAGATTCATATATTTTTGGCGTTTTTCTTCGTTTTTTTGCAAATATCTCCTAAAAAGTTTTTATAAAATCGTGAATTTTCTGAAAATAATTTGTACTAAAGTAGTGAATCTGCTAGAATCCATCAAGATGTCTATAAGGAAGTGAATTCTAGATGGAATGTGAATTACTTTATTTCTGGTGGAAATGGCGCTCATTAAACCATATGATTTAAAAGAAAAAAACTTCGTATATGCTTCTTATTTGCATGATAGCTCACTCATTTTACACGAAAAAAACTTGTAACAGCACTCATTTTAAAGCTTATGTTGAGCACTATAAAACCCAATTTTACCGAAATTCATAAAATGTAAAACCTCGACACTAGATGGCTTTAAATACAACAATTAAATCTTGAACGAAATAAAAAACGACTTTGCTCTTTCAAATCTTGCTTAATATTTTTCTTAGAACACTTTATCTAATACCGATTTATTAATATTTTTATTGACATTATTTTGTTCATTACATGATTTTTGTTAAAATGTATACTTTAGGAGAAATTTGCAAAAAAACGAAGAAAAACGCCAAAAATATATGAATCTTTAGTGGCCAGTAACTTGAAAAGTTTTGGTTTTTTTGAAAAACTATAGAAGACATTTTTTTCTTATAATTGGTTCTTCTATCGATTTCCGACATTATTGTAAAAAAATGTAATTACACAATTGAGAGGGGGTGTCACCCTTCCGGGGGGTGATGGCGCAATCCGAATTGTTTTCACTTTTGAAATTGAGGGTTAGATGAACCTAATTCCAAAATTTCATTCAATTCGGAGCACAGTAAAAAAATTCAGACCTAAAACGCTCCGTTTACTGCACTAATAATGGGTATTTTGAATTGAAAGTGCCCAACTAGTCATTTTGACTGGCGTGGTATATTTAGTGTTAATATCAATTATGTTTTACTAGGTCTCAGACTCAAGGTAGCATTTTGATCAATAAGCACTCCAACAGTAGTAACAACCAGGATACCTCAAATTCAAAGCACCGTTTGAAAGACCACTCAGCGACAGAAACATCACATTCTGATGAGGAGATGGGTTATCAAAATCGAAGAAGTGAAGACACACGACAATCAAATAGCGCCCGCAAAATAAAACCTGAACGTGAAATAAGCATAGAGCATTTGGAGCCAGATCAAAAATCGCCAGACACGCCTAATCAAAACAATAAGATACTCGAAGGCAACAACAAGACGGATTCAAAGAAGCAGCAAGATAATAATAGTAAGAACAAACCGAGTGCTGAAACACCAATTAAAAAGAACGGTTCACCTAAGAAAAGTATTAAAATAAAAGATGACAGTGAGCAGGTGCAGAAAATGAACGACAGTAATAATACAAGTAGAAGCAATAATGATGGTTATGTTGATGAGCGCAGCTCGGAGAGCCCTGTTGATAAAAAAGATGAATACTCAAAAACTGCAAATTGTACTCAGGAGGAGGAGGATATTATCAAGAGGCCAGACATTCCAAGGCAAAGGTAATAATAAATAGATTATTCAGTATTTTTAACTTTCCAGACGAAAATTTTTACATATCTTTACGTTTCAAAGGTTTCTGAACATTTTGGCATACCTTAGAGAAAATTGATGTATGTGTGTGTGTGTGCGGATACGAATTTTCGTCGACGATTCAATTTTTACTGATAAGGAGATGTGCTGATTATCTTTTGGCAAAGGCAGGTCTAGTCGTTTCGGAGATACGGGCCAAAAAGTGCCAAAAATGGCATTTCAGTTTTTGAGATAACGGAGCGTCCGATTTTTATAATTCGAAAAACATTTTACTTGTGTTGACAAAATGAAGAACTGATTAAATTTTTGGGAATGCAGGTCTAGCGGTTTCGGAGGTCCAGAAAAAAATAGTTAAAAAAATTAACATTTGGCAGCCAAAAATGATCATTGGACATATGCACATCAAATTATCAGAAATTTTATGGAGATTTTAATGATACGTCTGAATTTTCTTTACATTTCTATGGGTTCCATAACGTCGTTTGTCCGTTAAACGGCGACGCGGCGCTTACGCGCTTCTATATTTCGTCTCTATGCAGCTAAAGCAGTGTGATTGCTTTGAAAAAAGTTCAAAATTTCCAAAATATTTCAAAATAACACTAGTGGGTGTATGTCACTGTGCCTTAAGGCAAATTGCTGGAACTTTCTGTACCAAAAGTTTTTTTTAAAAAAAAAGATTAATTTTTTTTATCTTTGAAAAATTTTGATTTTTGAGAAATTTTAAATTCTTTAAAAATGACTTTTTTGGAAAAATAACTTTTGGATTTTTTTTTATTTTGAAAATCGTAGTTTTTAAAACCGAAATCGTCGACGAAAATTTGTATCCGCACACACACACACACACATCCATTTTTCTAAGATATGCCCAAATGTTCAGAAACGTAAAGATACACACACATACATTTTTATAAGACATGCCAAAATGTTCAGAAGGTTTTGAAACGTAAAGATACCTATATAAAAAAAAATATTTTCGATTTTTTTGCGATTACTATAACTTACTCTACGGGAAGTTAAAAAAACATTTTTTTCCAAAAAATTTTTTTTTTAATTTTAAAATTTCTCAAAAATCTATTTTTTTTAAAGTTTAATTTTTTTTTTTAACTTCCTGTAGGGTAAGTTATTGTAATAGGCCGAAAATCGAAATTGAAAATTTTTACATTTCTCGACGTTTTGAAGGTTTTCTGAACATTTTTAAGGGGCATTCCTCAGAAAACTAATGATTGTGTGTGTGTATGTGTGTTTTGTATGTATGTATGTATGGATACAAATTACCAGTCAAGTTTTCGGGCGCACGGATCAACCGATTTGAATGGTTCAAAAAACTTTTGATTTCTATTGATAAGGAGAAGAACTGATTAGTTTTTGGCAAAGGCAGGTCCAGCCTTTTCGGTGATACGGAGCAAAGAGTGCAGAAAATAGAAATCGACTTTTTGAGAGAACGGTGTATCCGATTTGAATGATCCAAAAAACATTCAATTTGTAATGATTGGGAGAAGTGTTTATTAGTATTTTTCAAAGGCAGGCCTATCCGTTTCGAAGATACGGAGCTAAATATGTAAAAAATGACAGTTTTTGAGAGAACTAAGCGTTCGATTTGAATGGTTCAAAGAACTTTCTGCTTGGCTTAACAAAATAATTGATTTTTGGAAAAAAAATTGGCTCAACTTTTTTTTTTTCAAAAAAAAAATTTTTTTTGTATATCGAAAATAATTCAGATTTTATTTTTAATTCTGACTATAGTTCTGATATACTTTAAACAAATGTGTTTAACTTTGCAATTCAGTTTATATAATTCTTATAAATATTAGACAATGTTACAATATTAATAATAATCTATTTGAAAACAATCAGTATTCCTCAAACATTTCGTTACGGTACGGGAAGTTCCAGCAATTTACCTTAAGGCAATATGCCATACACCCCACTAGTTAATTTAATTTTTGGTACGGAAAGTTCCAGCAATTTGTCTTAAGGCACGATGCCATACACCACTAGTTACTTTACTACATTATATTCACTTTCCTCAGTCAACCTCAACACGATGAGTTTGCAAGGATGCAAGAAGTTGCCGATGATCTAGTTGCACATCTTATGATGGATGATGAGAGAGCACCTCCAGCCATGACGACAGTTCAGCAACAAATCATACAGCAGAGTCTTCCTGTGTCTTCTATGGTAGCGCCTCCCATGACACTTCCACCAAATCTGCACGGGGTAATGCCTTTATTGCCTCCTACGCAACCTGTGGTTATGTCTGTGGTTGGTAGCGATAAGTGGTTTTATAGGGATCCTCAGGTAAATATAAAATATAGATGACTTACTTGTAAAGGAATTGTCTGTATGAATTTTGTGATATATTAGATTAGTATTAATGCGATTTGATTTGCTTTTACCAAACGGAAATCTTGAATACATATTTCTATAAACTATAAACTATAAATATATATATAAATATAAATATAATTAGTGCAATAAATGGAGAGGAAAAAAGGGTGTAACCTCTGAATTTTTTTACTGTGCTCTGATTTGCATGAAATTTTGCAAATAGGCTAACCTTGCCCTCAAGTTCAAAATTGGAAACAATTTACACTTCACAGTGAACCTAATTCCAAAAATTCATGCATATTGGGGTCACAGTAAAAATCAGACCCAAAATGCTCCATCGACAGGATTAAATATCTTGATTATCTATACTTCTCTGCAAATTAAATCTGAGAAAAGCTTCACTATTTTGTATATAGTTTATTAAGATTATTATTATATATTATACTTAATTTTTAAAGATTTAAATCGATATTGTTGTTTATAGAAGTGCCATCGTTTATTCTGCTCGTGTGCGAAAGTTCACGCGAATTTCAAAGAAATGAATGAGAGTATAATATTTAGTGATGAGAATGAGAACACGACGAATGGATTGAATAAATTCCCCATTATTACTTCGAAACATCCAAAAATACGGGTATAATCGTTTATTAAGTCAATTTTATGTTTAAAACTGTGTTACAACAATTTTATTAAATGTTAAAATGATATATAAAAAAGAGAAGTTTTGCCAGAAAATCTGATTTTTTAGCGGAATTGGAAAGAGCATGTGTGTGTATATATGAGCTAAAACTAGAATAGAAAGATATCAATTCAATTTTTTTTTTTTTGACGATTTTAATGAGTGATATTTTCATGATCTCTCAATTATCTTAAAATATTGTAGTGTTCGAAAAGTGGTTCAATTATAAAAATTCATTGAATCTAAGGAATTCTTGAATGAGTTATGAATTTTTTTTTAATTTGCGTAGATTTATTGCCGATCAAAATAATATAATTTTTTATTACAATATGCTGCGTGTAAATGCATTTAAAGAGATTATCTCGTATGAGATATCTTTTTTTTGTTGACATTTAAGATCGTATGGCCTTTTTTTTCTTCAATTTTCGAGTAAGAGATTCCTTAATTTTTAGCTTAATTCTTTTAAATATTTGTTTGGGTGACCTGGTGTTTTGAGTCATAAATTAAATAAAAATTCTGTTGTCGGGAGTTTCAAAAGGCAAATGCCACTTACACCTTGCATTCAGTTTTTTTGTGATTATTTTAGAATCAACTTTAGTTTTTAGTAAAAGCAAAAACTTTATTTCCTTAATAAATAGTTACACTTAAGGGGGGAGAGTCCATTATTCACGTGAGGCTTTTAGGGGTAGGGGAAGGTTTGACAAAAAATCACCAAAAATCACCTAGAGGAGGGAGGGATATAGTAAGATATCACGTGTATTTATTTTTTACCTATATTTACAAAAAAAAAAATTACGTTTTATTCGTAAATTCGAAAAATTCGTTCGGAAAGTTTTACGTTACTAAAAATACACCCGATGTTTGATGGGGGACGGGGGTAATTCTAAATATCAAGACGTATCACCAATGGGAAGGGTTTGATTTTCCTAAATATCACGACGTATCACCAAGGGGGAGGGTTTGTTTTCCTAAATATCACGACGTATCACCAAGGGAAAGGGGGGTGACAAATCTAAATTTTACGACAAATCACCAAGGGGAAGGGGGGTGAAAATTCTAAATTTTACGACGTATCACCAAGGGGGGGACCAAAAATTCCTAAAAAAAATCGATCACGTGATTAATGGACCTCCTAAATAGATGAATTTCAAGTTTTATTGATCAAGTCGATTATTCACACGTGTCGTTACACCTAATTAGGGGGCGTCCTTTATTCACGTAATTGACTTTTTAAGGATTTCTGGACCCGCTTGCCCTTAGTGATACGTGGTGATATTCAAAATTACCCCCTTCCCCTCTCTCCCCCCAAACCTCACGTGTATTTTTGGTTAAGAGAAAAAATGGTAAAATTTTCAATTTTTTTTTGAAAAGATTTGGATTTTTTTTAACCAGGTGAAAAATAAATGCTCGTGATATCTTACTATACCCTTCCCTTCCCCTCGTGATATTTTGTGATTTTTGGAAGCCCCCTTATAATATACTTAAATTATTGTTACAATTATTTTGTGTATATGTATGCATATGTGTTTTAATATGATGCTGATGACTTGTATTAATTATTCCAAAAGTTATGTTTACAATTATTTGTTGAGTACTATATTGTTGTATTTACTTTAAATTAATTAGTATTTATTATTTGTTGTTTATCAGGGAGAGGTGCAAGGACCATTCCTGGCCAGTGAAATGTCAGAGTGGTACCGTGCTGGTTATTTTACGAACGAACTTCTCGTACGAAGGGCTTGTGACGACCGATACACAACCCTTGGGGAACTGGTTAAAGTCTGTGGCGGTGTAGTGCCATTTAATCCATCCGTCAGACTGCCCCCATTAAAGGTAAAATATAAATTTAAAGCTATTTAAGCCAATTTCTAGGCTTGGAGTAATGTGTATATCTGTTATTCTTTTACCAGGTTGAAACATCAGTTCTCAATTCGAACGGTCTACAGTCACCTTTAACCACTCAGCAAACGAATCCTGCACTCATTCCTGGAACACCTCAATACCGGCAAGCACAACTATTAGGTCGACAGATAGCAGCAAGACAGGAAGCTCACCTTCAGGTTTTGCGTGACCTGAGCAGATCAGAGCGATGGGCTTCAATGACACCCGGAGAACAGAATGCTGTCTTGATGCAACAGTTGGCACAAATTGTAAGTAAAAATAATGATATTTTAAGCGCACTGTTTGCGAAACAGTTGTTTT